CAAGTTAGGCGCTAGAAAGCGACTAGACTAAGATCTGTACGGTGTATCGAGTATGACATCACTCTTTTGGAAGAGTTACTCCACCGTAACATGTATTCATACTACATGTGCTTGGCGACTGAGTAATGAGGTGAGAGAATAGATCCCTGTTTCCTCACCGTGTGAGTCTTTCGTGTCATTATTGATATGACTTTCATTTATATACCTTTTTGTGACTTTTGACTATGTCATAAGGTAAGGGGTTGATGTTCTGCTACTTTGGTATGTTGCATGCGGTCATGTATGATTCGGCCTTAAGAGACATCACTGGGAAAGCGGTCAATCCTAAACTAAATGGCATGAGGGTAAAGGGAAGATCATCTAGTATTACACCACTATTATATATTCACTACCGGCAACTCACATCACTCTGTATGAGAGGCGAATTGAGTGTGAATATATTGCAAGAATTGAGAGGGTCAAACATGCTCTTTTGAGGGATTAGAGATGTTTTTTGGACTGGTGTAATTAGATGGGTCTGGGGTATATGAGACGCTGTTTGGTTTGTATTTCTGAAAAAATTTTGGGAAATTTTCTCTACAAATAAGTTTTTAAAAGTAATCAAACCAAACAAATTTTTCCAAAAAAATTTCTCAAAACTTATAAACCAAACAAGTTTTCCAAACAAATCTCTCTCTCACAGACATCAAATCAATCACTTTTTCCAAAACTCTCTCTCAAAATAATTTTCCAAAACATCTTTTGAAAAAAACCAAACCAAACAACTTTTCGTACTTTTTATCTCTAAAGCATATCTCTCAAACACAAACCAAACATACCCGCTATTTCTATTCTTTTTGGGTTGATGTCTCCATGCTGGCTCATTTTGAGTTTCTAGTATAGAGCTCCCGTATGCAGGTGTTCTCAGTAGTCGTACGGTGCATTGGCTAGTATGAGATTGTTCATTTTTTGGGAGATTGAGATAAAGATGTGGCAGTGTCATACCAACTCATGTGCGAGTGGGAGATGTTAGAAATTGGGCGCCCATATGGCATGACCCTTTGAACCTTTTGAACCTTATTCAAGTAAGTTTGAATTTGAATTCAAAACTTATTTGGATAACCATTCAGGATATCTATATCTATCATATCAATAGATATGGATAGATGGATAGATAGATATTGGTTGATATGTATTTAATAATATACATCTGATATGATGGGAGATACGTATATCTGATACGTTATGTGGTTTTTACCCATAACCTTTTTTCCCAGACTCTCTCTCTAACTCTCTCCCATATGAAAACAACAATCAAGCCATTTTGCATTGTGACTTGTGTGGGTGATACTCATTTTGTAGTATCACTCCACTGCTGAGTTCATTGTTCAGATTCTGGAAGCACGTGATTTACCCGCAAGGTTCTATCATCTAAAGGTATGATCTAAATGTTTTTCCCGCCGCGTTATAATACTTTATGATTTACATTTTGACTATAAGACAAAAAAACACAAGACGTAAGAAAACTTAAGATTTAGTTTTGAAAACTCATAACCGAATGAGTTTTGAATTCAATTTCTAAATATTATTTTGAAAATATACAACTTAAAAACTACTTTAACATTTTTGTTAAAAAACTATCAAAAAATTCACACAATACTTGTATAGTACTATTGTGTTAGATTTTTTTATAAGATATCAAACGTTGCTAATTATTTTTCTGTTTTAAATGTTAACGGACAAAATGATTACATTGAGAATCAAAATTAAAAAAAAAATGTAATATTAAATGAGTAATATTATAAATTCATATTTATCAACTCAAAAATTATTGAGAAATTAATCTTTATCACACCTTAGGCTGTTTGGGAAGTGGAATTTTAATCTAATTTAAGTTAAAATTTACAAAGAGATAAAATAAGTTAAAGTAGGTAATAAGATAAAATGTCACATCAAATTCATAAGGGAGCTTTTTTGATAAATCCACTTTCTAAGAACTTTATTCCATCCAACCCATATTCTTTTTTACTATTCCATTAAGTCCTATTTGAGATAAGAAGACCAAAATACCTTTTTCATCTACTTATGTTCTATTTAGTTCACATTATTTTTTTATGTTTCAATAAGTCCTATGGGTGACATAATTACCAAAATACCCCTAATGTGAATGTTCACACCGTTAATGTGAATGTTCATATCGTTAATGTGTAAGGGCCCGACCCATGTCAATCCTCGTGGGTGCCCGGAAAAATTCGAGTCGGGCGGGGGCAGGCCCGACCCATTGACAATGTGAATATTCATATTGACATATTAACATTCACATTAATAGGATTGTAAAATTAGCCCACGTCCCGTGGCGGAGCGAAACCCGCCCGCAGCCCATGGGCGGCCTGGACGCGGGCCCGGTCCGGCCCGTTGACAATGTGAATATTCACATTGACATGTTAACATTCACATTGATAAGAGTATAAAATTGGCCCGCAGCCCATAGGCGGCCAAAAGCCCGCCCACGGCCCGGGGCGGGCCGGCCCGACCCGTTGACAATGTGAATATTCACATTGACATGTTAACATTTACATTGATAGGAGTGTAAAATTAGCCCGCGCCTCGTGGCTGCCCGAAACCCGCCCACTGCCCATGGGCGGCCCGGGGCGGGCCCGGCTCGGCCTGTTGACAATGTGAATATTCACATTGACATGTTAACATTCATATTGATAAGAGTATAAAATTTGCCAGCAGCCCAGGGCGGGCCCGGCCCGGCCCGTTGACAATGTGAATATTTATATTGACATGTTAACATTCACATTGATAGGAGTGTAAAATTAGCTTGTGCCTCGTGGCTGCCCGAAACCCGCCCAAGGCCCATGGGCGGCCTGGGGCGGGCCTGGCCATTTTTTTTTAATTCTTTTTAATTTTTTCTACCAAAATTTTATTATTTTCCACAAAAAAAGACACTAGGCCTTGGCATAGGCCGGGCCTCGAACCAAGCCTTGAATGGGCCTTAACAGGGCCAATGGGCCGGGCCGGGCTTCAAAGTGATGGCCTAGGCCCTAGCCTAGGGTCTCGGACTAGGCTCGAGCCTGGGCCCAAACGAGCCTTTCCCGGGCCGGCCCATGGGCCAAAAAATTAGGCCCAGGCCTTGGCCCTGGCCCTGGCACAAGGATATTCGAGCTTTGGACGGGCCGATGGATCGAGCCTCGGGTCGGGCTGGTGGGCCTGGGCCTAGCCTCGAGCTTGGGCGGGCCTTGCCATTTTTTTTAATTCTTTTTAATTTTTTCTACCAAAATTTTATTATTTTCCACAAAAAAATACATTGCGTCTCAGGCAGGCTGGGCCTCGGACCGAGCCTTGAATGGGCCTTAAGCGGGCTTCAAAGTGATGACCTAGGCCTTAACCTAGGGTCTCGGACATGCTCGGGCCCGGACCGAAACGAGCCTACCCCGGGCCGTGGGCGGGCATCGGGCAGCCCACGGTCCGCGGGCCAATTCTATATTTCTATCAATGTGTATTTTAACATGTCAATGTGAATATTCACATTGTCAACGAGCCGAGCCGGGCCTACCCTGGGCCGCTGGCAAGCTTCGGGCAGCGGGCAAATTTTACACTCCTATCAATGTTAATGTTAACATGTCAATGTGAATATTCATATTGTCACGGGTCAGGCCAAGCCTGCTTCAGGCTGCGGTCGGGCTTCGGGCCGCCCACGGGCTGCGGGCCAATTCTACACTCTTATCAATGTGAATGTTAACATGTCAATGTGAATATTCACATTGTCAACGGGCCGAGTCGAGCCCGCCCTAGGCCGCTGGCCAATTTTATACTCTTATCAATGTGAATGTTAACATGTCAATGTGAACATTCACATTGTCAACGGGCCGGGCCCGTTCGGGCCCGCCCTAGGCTGCGGGCCAATTTTATACTCTTATCAATGTGAATGTTAACATGTCAATGTGAATATTTACATTGTCAACGGGCCGGACCGGGCCCGCCTCGGACCGCCCATGGGCCGCGGGCGGGTTTCGCACCGCCACGGGACGTGGGCTAATTTTACACCCCTATTAATGTGAATGTTAACATGTCAATGTGAATATTCACATTTTCAACGGGCCGGGCCCGCCCCGGCTCACGGTGCGGGTTTTGGGCCGCCCACGGGCCAATTTTACATTTCTACCAATGTGAATTTTAAAATATGAATATTAACATCATAAAATTGCTAACCGTTTAAAAAATATTTATAAGGGTATCAAAATTAAATATAAGAGCATAAGTGTCCAAGAAAATAGTGTAAATCAAGAAAAATGATTTTATGAAATAAAACTATACATACATGGGACTAAATGGGTTAAAAAATTCCTTCATAGACTTCTTTGAGTTAAAACACTTCTAAATAGGATTTATCAATAAAAATCTCAATTCATAATCGTTTCACTTTTTTCTTTACAAACATCACATCCAACTACCAAAAAAATTCAATTATCTTTTCAAACATAAAAATTTTAACCTATTAAAATAACTAAAAAAATAAAATAACCTATTAAAATAACAACTTTCCAAACACCCACTTCATAAAAACCTCACATGAATTTTATACTATATAAATTAATCTTCACAATATGATAAACAAGTCTGGATTTAGAAACTTTTCCTATTTAAGAGTGGTTTGAAATGATTTAAATAAGTATATTTTTTGATTTTTTTATTAAAATATGGGTTAGGTATGAATTGGATTTGAAGTAAAATGATATGATTTAAATAATATGATGTAATTTAAATTGGATAGTAATTTTTTAACTTTTGAATTTTTTAAAATTATGACAAATAAGACATTAATAAATTGATGGAATTTAAAAAATAAAATAAAATAAAAGTGAAATCTGGGTGAAGGAGGAGTAACGATGTAATTTTGCCACCGTCCTGATTCCTTCCCACCTGCCGTCTTGTTTTTCGTTTTGGAGAGAGAAAGAGACCTGAAGCATAAGTATCCTATTATATATATATATATATATATCGTATGAGTCCCCTCCTTCGTTCTCCTCTCCTCACCCACTTCAAATTATTGAACGGTCTCGTTTCCTTTTCTCACCGACAAGCACAGAAACACACACAGCATTTTCTCTCTCTTCTTTACTCTCTCCAAGCTTCGAATCTCTCTCTCTCTCTCTCTACCGTGTGTCCCTTTCCTGAATGTCAAAACAGCGACCTCAACAATGGCGACACCAAACCATAGCCAACCTCACCTCTTCTTCTTCTTCTTCTTCTTCTTCTTCTTCTTCTTCACTTGCATTGCAGTCTCGCATGTTTTCTAGGTCAGCACAAGTTCTTCTCTAACTGTAAACTCTGTTAAAAAAAGAAAAAAAGGAACTGAAATGGAGAAGAGTAGTAGAGCTAACTCTCGGTTTTTCGCTGATTTTGTTCTGTTAATCGCGACGGCGATCTTCGCTCTCTGTGTTGTTGAAGGGACTACTGATTCGTCTGACGTTCAAGCTCTTCAGGTTATCTACAATTCACTGAACAATCCTCCGCAGCTACCTAATTGGAAAACGAGTGGTGGAGAATGTCAATCTTAACTGGCAATCTTACCAGTTCCTTCAGCGCATTCTCCAATCTCTCTACAGTGTGTCCCTTTGTTGACTGATACAACCCACTGAATGGATCTTGAATTCGTGATTCTCTCTCGCTATCTCGGCATATATATATATATATATATATTTATATGCATGTGTGTTTGATGTGTTGGTTTGAGTTTCTGAATATGGTGTTGTTTGAAATGTAGTTCAAGCTCTTCAGGTTATCTACAATTCACTGAACAATCCTCCGCAGCTAACTAATTGGAAAACGAGTGGTGGAGATCCTTGTGGAGAGTCATGGAAAGGGGTTACTTGCCAGGGTTCTTCTGTTGTTTCAATGTGAGTGCTTATCATCTCTTATCAGGCTTATTTGTGCATGTAATTGTATATGTAAATGTATTCTTTCAGATAGGCTCTTTGTTAAATTGTGTTTTGTGTTTTCATCAGTGAATTGATTTGGTTATGAGAGATCTTGTATTGTTGTTGTTGTTGTTTTAACAGTCAGATTTCTGGGTTGGGACTCAATGGGACAATGGGATACTTGCTTTCGGACTTTCTGTCGCTAAGAACATTGTGAGACAACTCTTCGTTTACTCGATTGAAATTGCTTTTGGCTAATTGGATTGTTTAGTCATGTCGATATTTGTTTGTTGCAGAGATATGAGTGACAACAATATTCACGATGATATTCCATATCAGTTGCCACCGAACCTTACGACCCTGTAATGATGGATTTTTTTTAAATTTTTTTTATTTATTGATTTTTGTATCTTTATTTTATTTATTTTTTGTAAAATTCTAAATTTCGTTTAGGTTACAGGCTTAATTTGCCAAGCAATTGTCATCTGTTTTACAACGCAGAAATCTTGCATACAATAATTTGAGCGGGAACCTACCTTACTCCATTTCTAGCATGGTTTCTCTCAATTACTTGTAAGTAGCATGTCTGAAATGCTGATAATATTTTTTGCATATTTATTTTTTATTTACACAATTTAGTTACATTTTGGGAATCTTTTCTATTGCCTAAAGTTTTATTTATTTATTTTAGGAATGTTAGCCGGAATTCTCTCTCTCAGTCAATTGGAGATATATTTGCTAATCTTGCTGGACTTACAACCTTGTAAGATATCCCACCTAAATATATATGCATTTTTATTTGGTTGTCTTTTCCTCGATTACTTTTGACTGTTTTGCTTTCTACCTAATGACTGCAATGTCAGGGTTTGGTATATTGGATTCATAATTCAATGAGTTTCATATCCTCTGAACCTTCTAGAGTTCATTAAACTTTATTCTCTTTTGGAAGTGGGTCTGATTTTTGAGAAATTCAAATTGAGTATGTGGTCTCCTTTTGGAGTGAAGAGTACCAAAGCAAAAATTAAACAATAACATACCAAGGAACAACACCAAAGAAAAGATCCATGTCAAGCATGACAATAATAATTAAGAGAAATATTATACATAAATGAATTGTGAAATTAACCCGAGGGACCTCTGTGAAAGTTGTATATGTTGACTTGCTGTGAATATAGTTTGTAAAGAAACCAAATGAGCAATGTAAGATTTATATTATATCCATAGTCATGATTTCTTCCTGTGATTGCATTTGTATATATCATTGTGCAGCTATATCTTATGACTTTCTTCTCATTTGTGAGTTCCCTGTGAAGAACTGCTTCAGTTTCTGATATATTCTACCAATAAAAAATCTCCTTAGTATTTTCTTTTAATGTTCTACATAATGTATTGACATGTATGTGCTGTAGGGATCTCTCTTTCTGCAACTTAACTGGCAATCTTACCAGTTCCTTCAGCGCATTATCCAATCTCTCTACCCTGTGAGTGTAATAAAGAGCTACTTGTTGATTTTTTTTTTGCATCTAAGTTTTTTTTTTTTTTTTTTTTTTTTTTTTTCATTCCTCTTCAGTTTGTTTGAACTTTTTGAATGTTTTGGGATTTTTGACAGTCATGTGCAGAACAACCAATTAACTGGTCCTCTTGATGTTTTGGCTGGTTTGCCTTTGACAGATTTGTAAGCTTATATGCTAACTTTGGGGCTTGAGTATAATATTTTTAACCAATTTCTTATTCCTGCTTCTTCAATTTTCCACAGAAATGTTGCAAACAACCATTTCAGCGGGTGGATACCAAAAGTACTTATTTCTATCCCTCATTTTATGTAAGTGCCATGTTTACACTGTGCCTGTTTGTGTTATATAATAGAACTGCAATATCTCTAATCTAAAATTTTAAATAAACAGATATGACGGAAATTCATTTGATAATAGTCCTGCTCCTCTGCTGCCGCCATATACCTCACCCCCCCCTAGTAGACCACATAGTAATCACAGCCATTCTCCTCCAGGTGCACGTGCATCTTCAGGTTCTAATGGCCAACTATCCAATCCAGATGATGGAAATAAAAAGGGGTTGACCACTGGATCTATTTTAGGCATAACTCTAGGCTCTTTGTTTGTGGTTCTCTTTGTGATGCTTGTGCTTGTGTTTTGCCTCCAAAAGGGCAAAAGGAAGGAACCTGCTGCTGTTAGAACTTTTGCAGGAAGTCTCCCTGTTAGCACAGATAAAGGTATGTCCAAGAAGAAGAAGAAATTTTTGTTTTTCCACTTTTGTGATTAATTTAATTCCGTAGAAACTTCTCACTATTATATCTGATCTAATATTAGGTCGAAAACTGTGGTTAATTTTAATACGGCTTCAATTACCAATTAGGTTCCCATTTTATGTTTCCTTTTTCTCCTTTTCTTTGGTTGGGACTTTTTTATTAATCTGTTTATATCAAAAGTTATTGTTAATTTAATCCACATGACACACAGAAGCCAAGATCAAAAGTTTTCCTCACAATTAGATCTGATCTAATATTTAGGTGGAAAGCTGCCCTTAATTCTTAATATGATTTAAAATACTCATTATGTCTTTTCATTTTCTCCTTTTCTTTGGTTTGGACTTCTTATTAATTTGTTTATATCAAATGACCTTGCTACACGGAGCACAAAGGACCCAAGATAAAAATGATCTCCATGATGTAGGTTTGTTGAGACTGGACAGCCTCAGCTTTGATGTGAAGTGAAACATGTGCGGCTATATGTCGAGTTGGCATTTTTGTCAATTTGATGTGAATTGCATGACTTTGTTTCTTTAAAGATGCAAAGTATTAGATCCCAAGTCAATTAAATTAATTTGTGCTATGTTGGTTTGCATATTCTCTTTTATGTTGTGCTATGAAATGTGTTATTTTAGTACGAAGGAGCTGAAAACTCTTATGGTAACATCCTGATCTTTTTTTGTCATGCATTCTGCTTCACTTCATACTGATACAGAGATGCAAGAGCAGAGGATGAAATCCACGGCTACTGTGGCAGAATTGAGGCCCCTGCCTGCAGAAAAATTAATGGCGGAACGGATACAAGGGAAAAATGGATCTGTAAAGAGAGTGAAGTCCCCTATAACTGCTGCTTCTTATACAGTTGCTTCTCTCCAAACAGCCACAAACAGCTTCAATCAAGAAAATCTTATTGGTGAAGGTTCCCTTGGTCGTGTTTATAGAGGAGAATTTCCTAATGGAAAGGTAATTTCGTTGTGCTTATGCATTCGATGTCATTACCATTCCTAATGCTTTTAACTCATAATAGGCTTAAAAAGAGGATTGTACCTACTGCATAAAGCTTGGCTTAAAGCAAGATCTGTGAGAAGTAGATTTTTTTTGTGCGTGTGCGTGTGCGTGTGTGTGGAGGCTGATTCCCACTGCTCAAACTGCAGCACAAGGCAAGTGGAGGATAGCACTTTCCACAGCACTAGGTCATAGTAGGCTTAGCATCCATTTATAAGAAGGTTAGCCTTTGTCAGATGACTCAGATCCTAGCTAGTGGAGATTGTATTTTTGCCATTATCCTAGCAAGCCAAGTGGGGGTTGTGTTATAGCAATGCTGTAGTAATATACTGAGATTTATTTATGACGTAAAAATTTATTAAAGTGGGCACTAGTATGGCAATAAAGAGGTGGCCATTAATTCCTGAGTTGTGGCTTTGAGCGATAGTGTGATAATGCAAAATTAAGGAGAGCATTGTAATTTCGAAGTGACAATTTAAGAACCAAATAATTCTGTGTGTGTATTCCTTTCTTCAAGGATTTGTTGGTTTTTTTTTTTTTTTTTTTGATAACTGAAATATTCTATTAAAGACAAAGCTCCAAAGGGGCACAACCTTTGCACTGAAACTGTAAGAGATCAAAAATGCTCAACATTAACTGGAGCTCTCCTGTAAAATCTCCAAGAAGAAAAGAGGATTTACAAAAAAATTATTTACGTAAAAATGAAACCATGCAAAAGTTTAGTAGTTTTTCATCCAATCATAACCAATCAAGAGGGGTGCCTCCATACTTCCTTTCTTTTGACGTTTCCCCATCTGTTTATTCCCAGATTATCTTCCATTATAGTAGACCATGTCAACCACCTTGTATCTTCTCAGATGCCAACATCCATCTGTCTTTGTAACATGTTAATTAGGTTGCTGTTAATCTCAGTTACCTTTCCTGCATAGGAAGGACTTGAATTTTGAATCAGCAATGCTGTACGGTATATATAATGAAACCAAATAAAAATTGTTTCTGTTTTGATTTATGAAGTGCAGACTCAATTCAAAATATCATTAGTTTTCCACTATTGTTGGTTCTCCAACCCTGTGTCACCAATCTACTTTATGCTAGACTGTACTTTGATTCACTTTGGATGATATGTCTTTCACCTCAGGCATTTTGATCTTCTTGTCCTTCAATCAGTGTCTTTCTATAAGCCATGTGAAGTTGTCTCAGAGGTGTACTTATTGTTGTCTTAGTTGAACTTGGCAATGGCATATGATCAACTTTTGATGAATGTATTAGCTAACCACAAATGTGGAGTCCATAGATGCTCAGCTGAGCCATTTGTTCAGTACTTAAGTTTGATACACAACTCAAGGAATTTACCTAATGCAACGTCAATTCTGAAGTTCTGAAATGTGCGCTCAAGTTATACCAGTCATGTACGGATTTTTTTTTTCCCCAATTGCAGTTTGTTTTGCTTGAAGTGACCATTGCACATTGATGCAGATTTTCTATGGATTGTGGTTGGAATGCCGGGATGTGTCATGGATTGTTTTGTAGACTTCCAATTCTGATGCAACGGATTCAGTTGCTTGTTTTCATGATGATTCAATCTACTTTTTCCCTCATCCACTCTTGGTTTTAGATATGCGGTGGTCAACATGTCACCTAGGCTGATAAAACCATCTTCTGAATTATTTTTAAGTGATGTCATGGATCACTTTGTTGTGCTTGCTACTTGTCTTCGTTGTGTTATGGCTAGAAGTAAAATAAATACATAGACCTTTTCACTTTGATTAAGATGTCATCCTCTTCATGATACCATTATTCACCAGCTAAGCAAGTGTGGTCTGGCATGTGGCAATACTACATCAGCTGCGCATGATTAGAGTTCTTTTCTCTGCTTATACTTCATACATTTTGTAATGATGAAATAATTAATTTGGTGTATTGTTCATTGTAGATAGTGGCCATTAAGAAGATCGACAATGCAGCGCTCTCACTGCAGGAGGAAGATAATTTTCTCGAAGCTGTTTCAAATATGTCACGTCTGAGGCACCCGAACATTATTACGTTGGTGGGCTATTGTGCGGAGCATGGCCAACGTCTTCTGGCTTACGATTATATTGGAAATGGCAGCGTGCATGATATGCTACATTTTGTTGATGAAAGGAACAAGATGCTAACATGGAATGCACGTGTTAGAGTAGCACTTGGCACTGCTCGAGCTTTAGAGTATGTTATATGTCTACTTGTTTTGAAGTGTCTCTCTCTCTCCCTCTCTCTCTGTGTTTTCCTTTCTGAACAGTGGACTCTTTCTCTAGGTACTTGCATGAAGTGTGTCTGCCTTCTGTTGTACATAGAAACTTCAAGTCGGCAAACATTTTACTTGATGAAGAGCTCAATCCTCACTTGTCAGACTCTGGTTTAGCTGCTTTAAACCCAAATACAGAGCGACAGGTTGTTTGATGGGGGTTGCAATTGCTATACATATTACTTATGTGGCTCTGTGTTTTTGTCCAAGTGATCTTGAATGCATTTGCACAAATGAACACCTTAGAAGAATATATATTAGGGTGGGAGATATAAAAATCTTTTTCACTTGGATAATTCAGAATGCTTCAAAATCTAACAGCTTTACAGGGTTCAGTGAAAACATAAAAAAACTAGTGCAAAAGCTATAGAATGATCCTATTGGCAAAAAGTGGTATATATACACCCATCTGAGAGAGGCAATCATGGGTTTATGAGTGGTGAGCAAGCTTGATTTAATTCTTGCAGAGTGGCTGTGTTAAGCTTCCTGATCTAAATGCTCTCTCTCTCTCTCTCTACATCTTTTTGAGGATAGGGAGCCTGATGTAGAATGCTGTAGAGAAGAGAGAAGAAGAGGGGGAGGAGAAGGCGAGGGTACAAATGGCCATAACTTTTACTCAATATCTCATTAATTTAAAATTGAACAATACAATGAAAACCCTAAAAAAAACGCTAATAAAAAGTAAGAAACCAAATCCTATTATTATTTGGAAACTAAATATTGATAATACCCAAATTATCTATAAATAAACATAAATATTAAAGCATAAATTACAAAATAAATAAAATCTCAGAGCCATCTTAGAGATGTACCACATCAGAGCTTACATGCCCATGCCTCAAACCCTGCACATTGCCCATTAGGGGATGCTCAAGCTAACAGCTTTTGGTCCCCCTCTGCGTTATATCTTCTTGATATTTCGTTCCTATAATGCTCGACAGGTTTCATCAACCCGAATGGTTGGTTCATTTGGTTACAGTGCTCCCGAATTTACTTTATCTGGAATATACACTGTAAAGAGTGATGTGTATAGCTTTGGGGTGGTGATGTTGGAGCTGTTGACAGGTCGTAAGCCGCTGGATAGGTAAAAACTATCCTAGACGCCTAAATAGGCCTGTTACATTCTCGAAATAATTTGATGTTTTCTGCTCACTGATGGTGGCTTGTTCTTGTCCTCTCCTTATTCCTTTCTGGTTGTTATGTTGTTTAGTTCAAGGGTGAGATCGGAACAGTCACTTGTAAGATGGGCTACTCCTCAGCTCCATGATATAGATGCCTTAGCAAAAATGGTGGATCCTGCACTAAATGGCATGTATCCTGCAAAGTCATTGTCACGTTTTGCCGACATCATTGCCCTCTGTGTTCAGGTAATGTTCTTTCTAGATAACAAGTTAGCTGCTTTAGTTAGATTTAGCTTTTGATACCTTTCAAGGAAAAAAAGTTGGCTTTTGATGAATCATAAGCTTGGGAATAAACAAACTTGTATCCTGTGACTTCTGCTATATTCTGAGGAGAAGGTTTTCTGAAATTATAATTTGAAGACAGCTTGAGAATATCCGTGGATTTCCTCTGCATCTCTGTGAACTTCCTAATTTCTGTTGATCTTGTGACATACCTAGAATGAGATTGTGATTGGTGCATAGCAATTGCTTCTACGTATGATCACATATGGGTAAATTACATTTTACCCACTTGTGATTAGGCTATAAAACAGGAAGCCTTCCTCAAATTTAAGTTGTGACATTAAACCCCCTTATAGTTATCTAGACTCAAACAACTAATTTTTCAATCCATAGCAAATGTCAGATAATAAAATGTCTAAAATATCCTCATTTTTCCCCTAATTTTTTTAGTATTCTCTTTTCTTATCGTCTACTTTCTTATCTTTATAGTATTCTCTTTTCTTGTCACCTACTTCCTAGTTTTTATAGTGTTCTCTCTTCTTATCACCTATCGCAGCTACTTTTCTGTTCTTCCTTAGCTCCAGCAGGCTACATTCACTGCCGGCAACCACCCCTTCCATCACTAACCATCCCGTAGTTGGTCCTTCTATCTTCTTGGCCCTCTCACATACATTCTTTCTCTAGAAATCCTATTACACCTTCCATGGATATTATTTTTTATTTTATTTTATCAGCAATACTTGCCACCACATTCTTCATCTAAGGGGTGGAGTCCTCCATGTTCATCACCCACTAAGTGCGTATTCTGCTCTTGATTTTAATGCAGTATAGTTTCAGCTGCAACGACTTCATGTGCCACTGCCGACTCAAGAATATGTGTATAGAATGGGTTTCAGATTTGGTGTGTATATATATACATATAATATACTAGTAATGCACAAAATGTGAGAGGTCTGTGATTTCAGTGCACTTTTTTCGGTATGTGTATAATTTTCCAAAGCTTATTTCATGTAATCAAAACAAAGCTTAAATCTATTTGACATTATATATAGACATGTATATATATATATATATGTATCCTTTGTTTATCAAATTTTTTGAAGTGGGTCTGTTATGTGTATCCATATATGCATGTACTATAGAATGGGTTTCAGATTTGGTGTGGTATATATATACATATAATATACTAGTAATGCACAAAATGTGAGAGGTCTGTGATTTCAGTGCACTTTTTTTGGTATGCGTATAATTTTCCAAAGCTTATTTCATGTAATCAAAACAAAGCTTAAATCTATTTGACATTATATATAGACATGTATATATATATATATATGTATCCTTTGTTTATCAAATTTTTTGAAGTGGGTCTGTTATGTGTATCCATATATGCATGTACATCATGGCTTTTAGAGTGAGGAGGGTAACGGCTAGTGTACAATGGTGGTGGGCAATAAGATGTTGAGATGGTGATAGGTGTGTGTTGTTGTGGTATGTATATTGCTAACAAGTAATGGCAGATTGTGGTGTAACATGTACAGTGGTGGATTGAGAGAGATGGGTTAGTGTGAAACAGGGTTGAGAAGGTGATTGGTAACCATGACAGACCAGTATGTGGTGGAGATGGCTCATGGTCGGCAGTCGAAGGGTCTGATATTGTTTGCAGTGGGGAAAGGAGGAGGTGAGGAAGAAAAAAAGGGACTGATGAATGAAAATTTGAAGGCTATAAATGTCATTTTACTTCATTAAAAATTCAATTTGGAAATAAAAAAATTAATTTTACCTCATTTTAATTTTTTTTTGTATGTCTCATGCACCCGATTGACTTGAATAGAAAATGTAACGATTTCGCATTGTACTATACAATAGGGAGTAAAAAAAATTTATGGGGGTTCCATGTTTATTGACTAAACCAGAGGGGGTAAATTGTAATTTACCCTTTATTTCTTTGTACTAAATGATGTGATATTGACACTTCCAGTTTGGAAAGAATAGCACTTAAATCCAGAAACACAAAATCATATAAATTTATCCCTCACCGGTTGCCTTGTAAGCATGTCAGCTACCTATGAAGATCACAGGAAAGTCCTCTCCTTATTTAGGATTTCTGACAAATGTTCCTGTTCTGTAGTTCAAATAGTGTGTCACTTTCTTTTTGCTAAATTAACTAGTCAGTCAAAATGGATTTATTTATGATTTGTATATTCTATGCAGCCTGAACCAGAGTTTCGGCCTCCCATGTCTGAAGTTGTGCAAGCACTGGTCCGGTTAATGCAAAGGGCGAGTGTGGTGAAAAGGCGCTCCGGTGATGAATCTGGTTTCATGTACAAGACTCCAGAGCATGAGGCAACTGACATGTCATTTTAGATACCGAGACTCGAAACTGTTGGGGCCTATGCAATTTTGTAAACAATTGTGCAAAGGACAAGGAGTGATTGAAGCGCACAAGGATTAGAGGAAAAATTGTGAAAAGCGATCACTGATCAGATCAGAAGGATGTTGAGTTGTTTTAGCATGCTACTTCACAATGCGAGTGCAGGTGTATATTCGACTGAAGGTGATGCTTTGATATTATAACCGTCATTGAATATTTTGATCCATGTCCAAAGGAATTTTCGGTGTACTAAAACCTTTTGTTTGATCACAATGAAGTTCTGTGAATTACCAAGAAAAAAATCAATATTCGTTAGGGTGTCGGGGAAAACAGCTTCGAATGCGAACTATTTGTTGGCCTGTGCAATGATTACACTATTGGTCCCTTAAGTTTGAGTAAAGTTTCACTTTAGTCCTTATAATTTCAATTTGAACAATTTAAATCTTACATTTTAAATTTTGTTGCAATATAGTCTCTCTATCATTTGTCGTTAACATTTTGAATGGAAAAAAACCTAGTACAAAACTAGAGGGACCGAAATGGAATTCAAAAGGAATTGTAGTATCCAAAAGGAATCAATAAATTATACGAATGGTTTCGAAAGTTTGTTTTGATTTTAATTTTGATCCCTCTAGTTTTGGACGTGATCTTTTTCCGTTTAAAATTCTAACGGTAAATGATCACAAGGCAACAAAATTGAAAATGTAGTATCCAAATTGAAACTATAGGGTTTAGAATGTCATAGTTAATAGAGAGATGTTATGAAAGCTTCATGCAGGCCTCATCTTTAGCTGTGTTGGTAATTTGAGAATAATTTTCAGCATAACAAAACAATGGAAGCTTTCTATCATACATTTCATGCAAGCCCTATCTTTCTTTGAGCGTTGTTGAACAGTCCTTCGATGGCTGTGCTCCTTTAGAGGTAGATAATCAAGGTTGTTAGATTGATATATATCGCTTAGATCTTGACAATTTATTTATGTTTTTGAAATAATTGGTGATTTAACATGAAACCTGAGCTCTAGTTTCGGAAAGTCCTGTGTTTTAGGTTTCATTTGGATAGATGTGGATATCAACAAAATCAAGGAAATTTGAGGTTGTGGGTAGTAGAGATTAGAGGCGATCGGTCGTTGACCTCTGGGAAAATGGTAGGCACTTCAATGGCTTGAGATTGCCAGAGGTAGAAGAGGAAAAGACTAAGGCAAGCTTAGAGAGGAAAGGGGTGGCAGTGAGAACATTTGGTGTATGTTATGTGAATTCTTGTTGCTCTTGTTATTGTTATTGTTGCTGCACTTATGATGCCGTTATATAGACTCCAGGAGTATTGGAGCCTAAGCAACCTCAAGACAGGTGTCGAGTTCTCCTCAACTTGACAGGGGGTGATATTAGCCCTACTAGCTGTGTCTTATGATTCAGGTCCTTAGAAACGTTGCACCATAGGAGCTGCAGTTGTAGGTATGATATCTTAAGAGGCGTATCATATATGCATCAGATGTAAGTGTAAGTCAACGTCCCTTTCTCTAAGCCAAGTCAAAGGGGGAGCTATCACTGCAAAGAGACAACTAAACGACCTTAATGATCCCGAGGTATTAGCCTCCAATCCACAATCCTCCAATGATCCCAAGAGAGAGTGCCTAGGCCCTGCTCCCAACCTAGGCAACCAAGATGGTGAGTGCATAGGTGAGCCAAGGGCTCGTCCTGAGCAATTAAGTAAACATACGTGAGCCAAGAGTACGACTATGTTGTTATGGAGTTGGGGTAAGTGGGTAGAGAATATATTTCTTGAGTTATGAAGGGCCATAGAGAGCTCTAGGTAAGCCAGCTCTATCAAAGTGAGCCATGGTCTTGTTTTCATACTTGGTGGTGTGCATGCCCCGCTTAGGCTAGGCATACAACCCCAACTCATCGTGGTGCCTCAGGGGTCTGCCACATGAATGTGTGACGGTGATGACATACTCATTGTGGTGCCTTAGGGATTTGCCATGTGGATGTGTAGTGGTGCTGATATGACACCCATAGGGCTCGCCACATGCCAAGCATAATATAGATATCCACATTAATGTCCCATGTACAGATATTCTCATGAAAGTCTATACACAGATGTCGAAAATATAACCCATGCAGTTAATAAAGTTTGATTTCTTTTGAATTAAAGAGAGATACATTTTAATTTCGTCTGGCATGAACCGGCCGGACGAAAATGTGGGCTTGCTAGGAGATGACCTCATTCCACAAGATCTTTATTATTTTACATGAGATTTCAGCTTCGTTCCATAGACCCCAAATCTCGCCCGTCACTTTTTCCATGCCGTTGGGCGGTGGGTTCATGGTCTTGGTGTTGGAGTAGTCCATGATTTCGTAATGATGACGAGATCGAACCATCCATAAGAGTGTAGGTGCATGTAATGTTGGAAGAAGTTAGGGCGAGCGACAGCCTCCGTGTTGAAGAAGAAGATGTTGAGCGGAGTGTTGTAGGGAATGCTTGGTTGAGCATTGTTGGAAGTGCTCTCCTCTGCCATGTTAAGATCTATGAAGTTCTCTATGTCCTATCCAAGTCCCAAATCTTCATTTGGGTATTCCAACGGTGCTGACATGATGGAGATGTGGTGGTCTAGATCTCTCTCTCTCTCTCGGTCTTTGCAAAAGGATGTTGATTCGGATCTTCTCGAAATATGGGATCAATACCTAATTTTCCTGGCAGGTGGATCTTTGGAGAGTGAGGTTGCCTTCTTGGTTTAGCAAAAACCAAGTGTGCGACGGTGGTATTGTGTAGAGCTCTGTAAACGTTAATGCCTTGTACCATTTTACCTCGGAATTCTTCCGGCACCTCTACAACTGTATATGTGAATGTTGGGTGTTGGATCCAAGGGGATTCGAATAGTAGATCTTGGAATTGCCATGGAGACATAAGGAGCATCCTTCGAAAGAACTCACACATCGGATGGCGGTGGTGAGTAGGAGTGGAGCTCGAAGCTCTATATTTTGAACCTCTCTGGTTTGGAGCCTTGTTCACTGGCTACCAAACGGTGTTATCTCTGTGTCCCTCTCCTCCGGAAGTCATTTAGAGAGAATGAGTTGTTGAAGTTAAGACGAGTGTGTAAATAATTGAATATGAATTTGCTTGCGTTTTTTGTTTTGTTGTGTTTGCTCTCTTATAAAGGGATTGCATCAGAAAAGAAGGGGTGAATTTACTAACTTTTGTAGCTTTATGACAACGTTGGGAATGAGCAATTCTATGGAGAGGACAACTCACCAATTAAAGTTTTAGTTGTTGGTTTAGAACAGATCATTAATAGCTACTGATTTGGAGCTGCTCATGGTAGCTTGTGATAGCTTTTGTAGCTGTTAGCAAAGTGACTTGTTGGAGAGTTTAAGATTTTTACGGTCTGTTTTTAATGTTTCTACCAAGCAAAGAGAATTTTTGATTGCTTTAAGGATTTTTCCTTGGAAAGGTACAACCTATATGTATATATATATTTTGGAGCACCTGTTCCGCTTGAACTTTGCATTTTTGTAGCGAAGAACATATACTTTGTATAAAAGTTTGTATCTATTCCCAGTATAGTTTAAACCCACTTCAATAGAGAGTTTCCTTTTTTAGCAAAAAAAAAGGTATTTTATATATATATATATATATATATTATGAATTAGATCGAAGCTTCGTGTTTTCTAGTCGCTTCCTCCGTCTTCTCCCTTTATCCATTGTACAAAGGTTTTTTTTTTTTTTTTTTTTTTTTTTGAACGACTTTTTTTGAAACTTGTTCAGATAGGTGCTTTGTATTTTTTGGTTGCTGCCTCCGTCTTCTCCTTTTACCCAAGGTGTAGAAAGGTACTTTATTGACTTGGATACCCGTGGCTTGGTTTCTTGGATTAATGTACCATTAAGAAAGTTGTTTGGCAATTGTAGGTTTTTGCTATACTATTCTTTAGTTTGGGTCTAGGTTTTCCATACTCTCTCAACCCAAGCTGAGTTTTGGATTTCTTTATTCTCTCTCCAAGTTCGGTTTTGGGTTCTCCACACTCTCTCCCTTTATAAGTTTGGTGCTAGATTTTTAGAGAGAGAAAGAAAAGGAGAAGGGTGCCGACAACTGTGAGAAAGAAAAGGTAGTTGTCGACGAGGATTTGTTAGGGTAAAGGGTGTTGCGTGGTGAGGAGCTGTGATTTTTCTCAAATCTTAGGTTTAGTTTGGGACTATTTTGGGGTTTGGAATTGGCGCTGGGGTTTTGGTTAATTGATTGGGCTTTTGACTCAAAGGAAAAAAAAAAAAAGTGGGTCAAGTTCCAAAGTCACGAAGGGAGAGGAGAGGCAAGCTGTTAGAAGGAGAAAAAGGGGAAGAAAGGTGGCGGTGAATCACAAAGGTCACCGTCGGCGAACCGCAAGGGTGCTACGAAGTGCAATAGTCACTTGTGCTATTGAGTCAGGCGTGGGTTTTGGAATTTTGATTGAAGATTCGGTGTGTGAGCCGTCATCAAAGGAGGGCTGGGCTTTTGATCTCTTTTATTTAGTAAAATTAGGGTTTCTAAGGGTGGTTGTCGTGGCGAAGTTTGAAAAAGAGAAGCAACCACGAAGTTGAAGAGAGAGGAGCCAAGATTGGGACTTGCGTATACTCTCGGAGCTCTCTCGGCTAGGATTTGTGTAATTGGAGATCAATTCTTATATGTATATTTTCCATCTCAGTTTATTTGAATTTTGTTTTATTTTTATTTGTATACATATACATTTTGTTATTTTGATGAATAAAAAGAATAAAAGTAGATCGTTGTTGTAGGGCCTAAAAATTTGTTAGCCATTACATGGGCTGTAGACTTGCTAAAATTTGAGTGGGATTTGGGGTTGTTTGGAGAGAGCTTAGAAATTTAATAATAAAATATTGAAGAGTTATGAAATTAGAGAGTTATTGAAGAGCTTTAAATAATAATAAAATATAGGAGTTATGAAATTGAAGAGTTATTGGAGAGCTCTAGATAATAATAAAATATAGGAGAGTTCGTGAGCTCTAGCTTTGGGTATTAGGCAAATTTTGAGAACAGCAATGCTAGGTATCATGAAAAATTTTTCATGAAAATGATCATGAAAGATTTGTGACCTTTGGATTATACTTACAATAAAGCACCACACAGTAATCAAAGTAATCTAAGGGTCACAAAATTTTCATGATCTCTAACATTTCTCTTTTGAGAATTATGAGCTAGCTCTAAGAGCTATGAGAGGAGAGTAGGGAGCTAGCTCTAAGAGCTATGAAATTGGAGAGCTTTGACTTGTGGGTTCTTGTTCCAAACACTTAGCAAATTTGAGAATTGGGATCTAGCTCTAAGAGTTGTGAGAGGAGAATTGGCAGCTAGCTCTAAGAGCTATGAGAGGAGAGCTCTAAAAATAATATTAAAATATTGAAGAGCTATGGGAGCTAGCTCTAAGAACCGTGAGAGA